GCTGTGTGTTTGGCAAGAGGAGGGCAGGAAAACAAAGAAAGGGGAAAACATTATCCCTTCTTTCAAGGATCTCACCTTCTAATTGGGGAAACAAACATGCAAACAACTATGTACATGTAAAATCTGTACTATGTAAGTGGTAGGTAATCTCAGAGGGAAGACACTAATGGGGAGAAAGAGGAAAATTGGGGAAAGTGGGGAGACCATCAAAGGCCTCCTGTAGCTGGGATTTGAATTAAGTCTAGAAGGAAGCCAGGGAAACAAGGACGTGCAGGTGAGGAAGGAGAGCATTCCAGGTGTGGGGGATAGCCAGTGAAAATGCCCAGAGCTGAGAAATGGAGTATCATGTTCCAGAAACACCATGGAGACCAGTGTCACTGTATTACAGAGTAATTGGCTGGGGGGAGGTGAAAGAAGACTGGAGAGGTAGGAAGCAGCCAGGTTAGGAAGGAAAGTCTTTAAAAGCCAAACATAGGATTTTATATTTATTCTTAAGGAGCCCCTGGAATTTAGTGAGTGGAGGAGGGAGGTGATACGGTGAGACCTGGGTTTTAGGAGGATCAGTTTAACAGTTGAATGAAGGAGGGATTGGAGTGGGGAGAGATTTGAGGCAGGCAGCCCAACCATCAGGCCATTGCAATGATCTAGGCTTAAAGTGATGGGGGCCTGTACCAGGGTCGTGGCAGTGTCAGAGGAGAGAAGAGGGCATACTTGAGAGATGTTGGAAAGGTAGAAGGGGCAGGGTTTAGCACAGATTAGATATGTGGGCTGAGCGTGAGTGAGTAGTCAAGGATGACACAGATTTTGAGCTTGGGTAACAGGGAGGATGGTGATGGCAGAGTAGAGAAAGCACTCAGCCAAGCTCTTCCAACATTCTCCTCCAAACAATTTTAAAATACCATCTCAAATTGAATTCTTGAATGACAGAGCCAACAGAAGGTTGAAATGAGACATTCCTCCAGCCCAAAGCAATTTAGGAGGTTGCAAGGAGAGATCTCTGACATACTGGTGGATGAATCACCAGTGGTGGGACCAGGTGGTGGTGACAGAAGAGGTGGGACCAAGCCAGAAATGGTGAGGGGACCTGGCAACTGGTCAGAAAGAGATTACAGGAGACCCCTTTACTAGCACTGGACACAGGACCAGATGCTGTTTGGTAACTCCATTGCCTATGGAGTTCCACTTCCAGATCACAGTTCAAGGGTGGAGAGGAATACTTTTGGTCACAAGGGAACAGGGACCCTGAGGAGCAGTATTGATTGCCATCCCAAGGGATCAGGGACCTTTCCTGGGTAAGGACCAGAGCACATACCAACAGAGAGTAAACACACCTCTTCCCAGATCATACTACCTTGGAAACCACCAGAAACTTCCAGGCTCCCAGAACTAGCTCTAAAAACAGCAGTCCAAAAAAGCCTGAAGCTTGGGACAGTGCCTCTCCCTACCCCACACTCAGTGAACAGAACCCAAGTTTAGCATAAAGTTCAAAGTAAAAAAATAGGCTGGAAAAATGAGCCATCAACAACAACAAAAAAAGAACCTGACCATAAAAAGCTACGATGGTGAGAAGGAAGATCAAGATAGTTATATGGAAGTTAGGAAGGGTGGGGGGAAGTTAATGAGTTTAGTTTTATAAATGTTGAGTTGGTGATACAAGACTGGAGGTCAGGTTAGGGCTGGATAAACAGATCTGAGAATTATCTGCATAGAGGTGATAATTGAACCCACCAGAACTAACGAGATCACCAAGTGAAACAGTAGAGGGAGAAGAGAGCCCAGGGAATCCCTTGGTGTATACCCATGGTGAGTAGTTGTGACCTGGCAGAAGATCCAGCAAAGGACTGAAAAGGAGCAGTGAGACACATAGGAGGAGAATCTTGAGAAAGCAGTGTCACCAAAATGTAGAGAGGAGAGAGGATCCAGGAGGTGGGAGTGATCAACAGTGCCAAAGGATATAGAGAGGTCAAGAAGGATGAGGATTGAGAAAAGGCCATTAGACTTGGCATTTACAAAATCATTCATAACTTTGGAGAGAGCAGTTTCAGTTGAGGTCAGAAGCCAGGCTGTAGAGAGTTAAGAAGAGAGTGAGAAGAAAGAAAGTAGAGGCACCTACTGTAGGTGCCTTCTCAAGGAGTTTAGCTACAAAAGGGAAGAGATGATAACAAGTCAGGATAGAAGGATCAAGGGAGGGATTTTTAATGATTGTGGAAACATGGTCATGTTTGTAGGAAGTAGGGAAGCAGTCATAGACAGGGAGTAACTGAGTATTAGTGAGAGAATGGAGATGATAAAGGAGGTAATCTTCTAAAGAAGATGGGAGTAGAGTGGGATCACTTATGCATATAGAGGGGTTTGCCTTGTCAAGGAAAAAGGCTACTTCTTTGTGTGAGACCATGGTGAAGGAGGAGAGTAGAAGAAGGCATCTGAGTGATGTAAAATTAAAGAGAGGGGAGAAGAGGGAGCTCTCTGGGAAGTGGCCTTAATTTTTTTCAGTGAAGTATGTGGCAAGGTTTTCAGCTGAGAGGGAGGGGTTGAGGGAGCCATGGGAGACTTGGAGATGAAAAAGTTTGAAATAGCCTCTGTTGTGTGTGGAATAGTGAATTAAGCAGGTATAAAAGGATGCCTTGCTGCAGTGGAGGAACGTAGACTTGTAGGGGACCCAGTAAGCCCAGTTTTGTGACTTTCTCCATCTTCATTCAACAACATGTTGAAAATGAAAGACATGAAAGCAGTGAATGGTGGGAGTAATTCAAAGTTAGTGTTTGGAAAGGCATGATCAATAATAGCATAAGGAGGCAAGGAAGTCAAGTGTGGAGCAGTGTAGAGTTGAATTGGTTCCCTAAAGGGTTGTGATAGGGAAGGGAAAAGAGTGTGTGTGTAGTCAGAGGGTAGGGTGATGGCCTAGGAAAGAACCAAGAGATTAAAGGACAAAGACAAAGAACAGGGTTGGAAGGCAGAGGAAAAGATGGAATGATAAAATATCGTGATCTGATAAAGGAATTTTAGTTACACATAGTCAAACAAAACAAATTCTCCAACTGTCCGTGTCCAAAAATGTGACTCATTTTGCATCTTGAGTCTATCACCTATCAAAAGGTAGGTAACGTGTTTCATCATGATTCTTTGGAATCATGATGGCTGATCATTATGCTGATCAGACTTCTTAAATCTTTCTAATTTGTTTTTACAATGTTGTTGTTACTGTATAAATTGTTCTCCTGATTCTGTTCAACTCACTCTGTATCAGTTCCTACCAGCCTTCCCAGGTTTCTCTGAAACCATCCCTTTCATCATTTTTTTCCAGCACAGCAGGATTCTATCACATTCATGTACCATAACTTGTTCAGCCTTTCCCCAATTGATGGGTGCCTCCTTGATTTCCAATTCTTTGCTGCCACAAAAAGGACTGTTATAAATATTTTTGTACATGTAAATCCTATCCCTCTTCCTTTGATCTCTTTGGTGTATAAGGCTAATATTCCTAGATCAAATGCTGTGCATAATTTAATAACATTTTGGGCACAGTTTTAAAATGTTTTCCAAAATAGCTGGACCAGTTGTCAGTTCCACCAACAATGTACTACAGTGACCCTGTTTTGTCACAGACCCTCCAGCATTTGTCATTTTCCATTTTTTGTCAGCTTTGCCAATCTAATGGATATCCTGTGGAACCTCAGAACAATAAACATTTAGTAAGTACCTACTCTGTGTAGGATGATGGGATACAAACCAAACAAAGGAATAGCTTAAAAGCTAACATGATTTTCAGTAGCATTTAAAGTAGTGTGTTGTGCTTGTCTGGTCAGATCCTGTCTGGATTATTAGAGTAGGGAGCCATATAATATTTTGGATCAGGGGCTGTATGTAATCAGGGTTTTGCTCTAGAAAGATTCTCAGCACATGCAGATCTGTCCCTCTCCTGAAAGCTTGCCAAGCTTGGAGGCAGATCCAATCGTACAATCGATCAATATGTATTAAGTGATTACTATGTGCCAGATGCTCTTTACAGTGTTGGTGGTATCAAGGCAAAGGCACTCTAGTGAACACTTTGCTGACCTTGACTTTTCTTCTGGGGAAGATTTTGTGGGATTTTTTGGTTGTTGTTGTTTTGTTTTGTGGAATTTTCAATCTCCCCTCCTCCTTTCCAAGGTCCCCTTTGCTGGTTTGGAAATGTCAGGGCAGCGCAGGCCCAGCTGCAGGAGAGGCCTGACCACCCCTGCTTGGAGAACCTCTATTCTGAGCCAATATGGTAGCAGGACCATTCTGTGTTTCCCTTGAGAAATTGGGCGATTTATCTGAATTCTCTGACCCAGTCTCATTTCTCCGGGCAACTACCATCTCCCCTGACCTGGAGCCACCCCCATGGTCCTCTCCTGCCCCTCCCTGCATCCTTTCTGCACAGACCAGACCCTCCTTCTCCCTCAGCACCATTCAAATCCCCTCAGCCAGATAAAGAGCCTGGGAATGGGAGGGGGCTGGTGATGTGGGGTACTTTTATTTCCCCTTCCCTTCCTTTGTCTGGAGATCTCTGATATACGTTCTCAATTGTCTCTGCCTCTTTGATTTTCTCAGTCTCCATCTTTGCACCTCTCCCCTGGCATGCCTCTATGTCTCCCTTCCCCCCTGTCTCGGTGCAGCTGGCTCCATCTGGACTCTGCCTGGGAGAGGTGGGTAGGAGGCTGGATTAGCAGTCCATGGGGTCCCCTCTCTGGCTTGGGGGGAGCCAGAATCCCTGCAAACCATCCTCCCCCAGCCCCACCCTGGCTCTCGGGCGGTGGGCAGGGGCATCCCTTAGAGGCTAGACCCGCCTCCCCTCCCCTTCCTATCCACCCTGAGAGCTGGGGGGCTCCCTCTCTATAGTGCTGCAGACTTCTGGGAGGATTCTCTAGATGTCCTTACAAGGAGAAGTGGAGGGAGGAAAAGAGGGAGGGAGGGAGAGAGGGAGGGAGGGAGAATGGGGAGGCAGGCAGGGATGGGCAGGGGGAAGGGAGTGAAAAGGAGGGAGTGAATGAGGAGGGAGAAGGCTTGGCTGGGAGAGAACAGCAAGGCTGGAGGGAAAGTTGCTGGAGAAAGGTAAGGCAGCCTCCCCCCCCCCAGTTACTCACGATAGATACACCACACACACACACACACACACACACACACACACACACACACACCATCACAGAGGAGCAGGTATACAGAGGCATTAGAGCATCCGCACAGATACACCTGACCACCAATCCCTTCTCCGCCCTCTCCCCCCTCCCCTTTCAATGCAGACACACCTGGATGCTCCAGAGATACAGGCAAGCAGGAGTCATCGCTCTCTCACTGGTCACCCAGAAGACCACTAGCTTTCCCCGCAGAGCTGCAGGTGGGCAGGCAGAGCGGCAGACCTACACACACACACACACATACACACACACACACACACAGAGCTGGCACTCCTCCATCCCCTCCCCCTCCCCTGCTTCCCCTAATCAATCTGGCCTCCCTCCCTTCCCTGGGATTCCAAGCAGAGTGGAGCAGAGTGGGGCAAGGGTGCTGTCCTGGTTCTAAGGAACCTTCTGACCCAGAATTGAAATTAAGGTAGGTGTATATGTGTGTGTGTTTGGGGAGGGTAGGAGTAGATGTGGGGGCAGGGATGGGGAAGGGCAGGGCACAATACTGATGCTATATCTCCCTCCTGCTATCAGAGCAGTCTGGAGATTGGGCAAGTGTGTGTGTGTGTGTGTGTGTGTGTGTGTGTATGTATTTTGAGTGTTCAGCTGAGGGCTTATGTAGGTGGTAGATTTCAGTTGGACTGTACACTGTTTCTGTTATATATATGCTGATGTACAGTGCTGTGTGGATGTATGTTTGAGGATGGAACCACAGAATCATAAAATGTTAAAGCTGGAAGGTAGCCACTCTCTCATTTTTGCAGTGTGTGTGTATGTGTGTGTGTGTGTGTTCATGCGCATTCTTGCATTTGGTGTGTGTGTGTGTTCATACGCATTTTTGCATTCATGGTGTGTGTGTGTGTGTGTGTGTGTGTTCATGCGCATTCTTGCATTCATGGTGTGTGTGTGTCTAGATTTTGTGGCAGCATCAGACACTGGTGATGTAGCTTTCCCCACCCTGCCTCTGTCCAGACTCAGGCATCATGTCTCCCAGCACTGAATGCATCCTCACCCCTTGGGGGGCTGGGATTTATGGGATATGGGGAGGGGTGTCCCTGGACCCTCTGTGGGGGGAGGACATGAAGGGGGAGATCAGCTGGGACATGCTCTTTCAATCCTATTTCTTCACATTCTGCCCCCAGGCCAGCTCAGCCCCTCTATTTCCCCAGACATGCTGCTGGGTTCAGGCTGGAAGAAGAGGACCGACGATATTGGCAAAATCTATGACATCAGAGAGAAACTTGGGGCGTGAGTGATGGCAGGTGGGGGTGGGATGACTACCTTGATCTTTACTGACCCTTTCTCTGAGATATCCTCCCTCTACCAATGACTCAGTGCATGGGCATTTCCACAGCTCCTCCTCAAAATCCCCTGTTTCTCTGAGTCTCTCTCTGTCTTAAGGCCCTTCTCATCTCTCTGCCTCTGCCTTGGCACCAGAGGCATGGGGTTCTTTGGATGGGGAGAAGGTAAGGGCTAGGGTTCCTACTTCTCTCTTACATAACTGGGGCCCAAGAC